GTCGGATGTAATCATCGATACCTACTGCAGGATATCTATTTCGAGTGATAGACGAATTCATAATTGAAGTAAATCGAAAATTTCAACAATTCGAGAAGTGTCGACAATAAAATTTTTCGAGACCTTTAATCTAAAACACAACAGAGAGAATGATTGTATATACAAACGCCGACCATAAAAAATTCCAAACATCTTTCGACTAATCAGATATCATTAGAGACCCCCATAAAATAAATTCGAACACAAGATATCACCAATAACAGCATCGATAGATCATGCGCTGTTCGATTCTACGCAAGCTCATTCCACGAAAACACAGGGTACAGTCATAATCGAAAGAACGAAACGAAATCCAAGAATTACCTAATAACACACTAGAATAGAAACAAGCACATCGGATTTCTGAAAAAAAATTCTCTTTCACAATAATAATACCACACATAATATACATGATCCTTTCACAAAAATTTATATTATTGCATTCACTTCAGATCATCCCAATCATACATCCGAAAAACAAAAACAAAAATCAAATACAACACCATTTGTTCTTCGAACAATTTATATCATCGACCTGTTCATACATCACCATGTATTCTTTATAGAGTTCAATGCATATATTTAACAATAGCAACCATTCACAAACAAAATATTTTTCTCGATTTAGAAATACAACAACAACAGCTGTACATCGAATAAAAATTGTTCTCGGTCTTATTTGTTGTTACGCATAAGTCGTACCACTCGTGCATTAGATCGTCTTTCATTTATCTTATACTGTTTATTACAAAATATCATTCATGTCGTACAAAAACCATTATACAACAATCATCCTCAAAATGCTATTAACTATCAATCATCACCATCAAATACGTTCAGACGATGGCCTCGTCATGGCCGAAAATTAAACATTTATTAATATTATATATAAAAATTGAAAGAAAAAAAAAAAAAAAGAAACAACAAAAAAGTTTTATCGCTAATAGATTTTGATATAAAATATCAAATAAAAATAATAAAAAATGATTTACAAAACAAATTAAATCAATAGATGATTTAAAATTATATTTTCAAATTGCTCCTCATTATATTTATGTTTACAATTTAAATCCATGTCAAAAATTAGATTATCAATTGTTATGGAGTATACCGCCTAATATACAAAATTAAGATAACACATCAGATTTGACAAAAAAAAAATGTATTTCAATTGTTTACTATCTTTAACACTGTAGTATATCAATTGAGAAAGATAATTATGCAGAGAATTTGATTGTTTATTGTTGATCCAAATGATGTTAAAGATAAAAAAGAGGCATACAAAAAAAAGATCATTACGATTAGAAATTCTTATAAGAAAAGAAACAAATAGTTATTGATTCGACCTCATCATTCCTGCGCTACAATCAAGAAATTTTATAAGATTACTTTATTTTTCTTCCCCAAAAAACAAATCAATTGTCAATCTCCTTCCTCTAAACTTGATTACGTAATACTTAAATCACTCCTTATTAATAAGTGGCCAAGAATATTTTTCATCGATCTCATCATCACAATCAATTTTTCCATCACATATTTCACTCCAATCAAGACATATTAATTTTGAACCACGATTACATTTTAAATTAGTATAACATGTTAATGTTTTTGGTTCATATGATTGATTATAATAATTTGAAATAATTTCATTTAATGATAAATATGTAGATTGTTGAAAATCAAAAGAATATTGACATTTTGAACCAAATCTTGATTGAGTACAATTATAAAAAAGCTTATTTCCAATTATAGTTGAGAGATTATTATTTAAATAAAATTGATATTGTTCAATAATATCAATTGGTGTTGACCATTTATATAATTATTCATTTGTTATATTTTGTTTTTTGAGTTCATTAAAAGTAAAGATTTTATCAATATTATTTTTTTGAATATTCCATTTTGTTGATAACTCATTCATACAATAAGAGAGTTTTTCATAAGATGATGGATTTTCACCTGAATGAGTTATATAAATACAATTATATTGATAGATAATATCATCAGAATCTTCATTTTCCCAGTTAGTAAGATAAAGATTAATTCTTGGTGTTGCACATACAATATGCAACAAAAGAAAATAAAATAGATATTGCATAAGTAACACTGAATTCATGTTGATGATCAATAGCTAGAGTGAATAAAACTTGAATCTATCATCACAAAACCAGAATCTAAAGCATTGATAGTACGGAGTGCAAAAAAAACTGACCTCCTCGAGGTTAAAATGTGACTAAATATTTATTTGTAATTATTAAGGAACTAAACTATATACCAACAGGAACAATAGTGAATACACAATATATACAAAACAATGTTGCATAATCTTAGAAGTGAAAAATCTCAATCAAACAAAAGTCTTTATTTTCCACTTAGTGAGCGACTTTAAGCTCAAAAATGAAATAACTCCTCCCCCCCCCCCCCTACACTTTATTTTGTTGAGTTATATATAGAAAGATGCAATTTTTGACGGATTTTTTCCTGACGCTAAAAGATTTTCGGAAAGGAATTGCTCTAGTGTAGTTTTAGAGCAAAAATATAAAATATTTTCATACAAAATGATCAGTTTTATCTATTTATTCAGTTAAAAATAACACGTTAGAGATTCTTTAGACACAATTTATATTTTCGAATCTTGTTCTATCATGATGCATTTAACAGATCTAATCAAGATACGTTAATTAATACTATGAAAGAGGAATCTTTAATGGTAACATACAATGCTAAATAGAATTCTCTAAAATTCTTCAAAATTTTCGTAAATTTATAAACTACTGCCTAAGGGTGGATTCAAAGATTCCTTCATATCTCTTTATAAGATTTTCAGAAAGAGCTAAAAATTTTGGTTTGAGCATAACTTTTCAGTGGCTTTCGAATAGTATAACTTATGTCAAGATCAAAATTTTTCATATGCATGTTTGGTCAATGGTTTGATGGACTCTATTTTAAAATTAAATTTTCAAATATATGAGAAAGAAATAGATTCACACAAGTAGAAAATAACAACTATTTTTTTATTTAAATTTTTGAATTGCAAGATTGTATAAAATTGTTTTCTATATATTATACATTCACTATAGTTCCTGATGATATATTATTTAATTCTTTCATAATTATAAATATTTAGTTACATTTTAATTTCAAGGGATCAGTATTTTTTGCACTCTGTACTAGCAAAAGAAGATGATCATTTTAAAAAACAATCTACCTTAGTTTCTTTTTTATGAAAAATGAGTTATTACTTATTCATCATTTACCTTCTGAGACTTCAATCAGTTTCATATATTATCGTGATGAATGTTTTTATAGACTTACTTTTAAAAAAAAGAGCGTCATCAAAAACAAACAGCATTAGGTTGCATCATAATAATGCTCGATCACATATGAATGATGGTGTTTTTAATTTATCATCAAAGTTATATCTCATCGAATTTTACTCCTTCAATTGTCTGAAGTCTATATCTTAACACATATTTAGATACTAGAAGTGATAACTTAGGCATTTAATTCAATATCTATTTAAGAATATCAGAAATGGATTCTAAAGATTAAGTTTGGGAAACTACGCAGGTCAGAAAAACCAGATAGAAAGTTTTGTATGATGAGAATAAATCGTAAAAAACTCATCGTATCTGGAATTTTACACTAAGTCCTTCTATAAGATTCTACAAAGATCTTATCATCACATAAGATTTCTTATAATCTTATAGTAATATGTAATCGAACAGCGAGATCTTATTCTCTGATTAGTTCACCTGATTATTCCAAACATTTACTATAATAATATTAGCAAAATATTTTTTTTCTAGATTTCAAAGTGCGAGAATTTTTGGACTAACTTATGTATTTCATATAAAAAATGAACAGGTTTTACTTACCGGTTTATTTCCTTTTTAATTACAATTAAATGTAAAAAATGATATCGCATATGCACATGTATACATATATACAAAACAATATTGACACAAAAAACCAGAATGTAATAGAGGTGGAAATAAAAATAATATAAAAAATCAACAGAAAAAAAAAGGTTGATATACCTTTTAATCAACAAAAGAAGTAGGTTATGAGGTGATTTTTTTTCAGTTAGTGCTTTGATAGAAACAAATAACATTTTAGAATAGATTTTACAGTGCTTATCCAAATATTGTTTACATATGTTAATTAGAATATCGTTGATGTCAATTGATATTCATGATAAAAGTTTTTTTTTTCTGTAAAATCATATATCAAATAAATAATGATTTCATAAAATACTTATTCATTCATCTGTTGGCCTGAAATGAATCAACTATATTTAATAAAATAAAAAATAAGTTCAAATCAAATCTATTTAGATATGAAATCAAAGGCTATATGCGAAAGAGTTTATACAGAGATGGGTGTGGGTACGGCTGTTTCTCCTTAACTGAACCCCAAACCCACACCCACACCCTCAAGCGTATTTCTAAGTATTCTCTGTAGTTTTATGTATTTCTGAAATACAGAAATACGTTTTTTTCCCCTTATAGTTAGGACTTCAATTTATGTTAATTGTGTAGATATGAATAGTCAATTAAGGCACATCCAATGTTAAAGTTTTGAAAATTGAGAGCTAAACGAATGTGAATGTCAAAATGTCTGAAACAACGACTTACAGTGATTTTTCCGAAGGAATCTTCTCTCGTTAGAAAATTCTCTTAAGAGCCTATAGTTCTTGAATAGATATCAAAATGTATATGAATGATCTTCGATCGGTGTTACTGCAAGAGTCAATTTGATTTAATCAAAATTTGAAGATCTGCAGCGCTAGGGCTACCATTTTTTTTCAGGTAATCTTGGAACAAATTTTTTCAAGACTAAACCTTAATTTTTAGATTTATATGGGTACTTCCAGATAGTAATGAAGATATTTTTTTGAAATATAGACAAGTACAATAATAACACTAAAGAATTCATACTAGAAACAAGAACACAATGACTAAAAATGTACACTCAAGGGAACGTTTAAACTGCTATCGAATCAAAGTTATGTATATTGTACCAAATCACCTTTTTAAAAATTTATATAAGTTATCGTAAAACTTCAATTCTTGAAATGTGAATTGGGATTAGTGAAAGACTTTCGTCGTCATGAAAAAATAAAAACGACCGATTTGCAGATTCTTAGTGGCAACAAAATAATGAGTATCAAAATGTATAGCCCAGTTCTTATTAATAAAAAAAACGCATAGAAACCAGCTTGAAAAACTGTAAGTCCAGTTTTGATAAAAAGCAAGATTTTGATTCTGGAATTGTCGCCACTCTGCAGATCCATAGTTGAAAAATCATATGAAAAAAGTCAATTACGATTTATCACAGAATTTTTTGCTAAAATCGCGATTAACCGTCTAAAGTAAAGTGATTTTGACGACATGATAGGTTAATTATTTGAATGTAACAACAAAGATTTTCTAACGTCTAAGACGATAGTTTTTTTCACTTTTCTGTCTCCTATGTAAGTTCACGGCCTATGAACTATGATTTTAAAATATATTCTAATTGTTTCAATAATGATAAAGCTAATCTTTTTTGGATGAAACACTTCGATAATGACAAAAATATATTATGTTTTATTTTGTATTTAAATAATAGCTTATGTTACTTGTTAGCTAATCTCAATTCGTTGTATAATTTTATTTTAATACATTGTACAAATCCATTACTAATATTTAATTCCGAATCTATTTATTGTCCTTCGTTTCGAAGGTGAATGATTTTATTTTTAATAAAATTATATCTCTAGACATCACATTGACTTGAAGTATTCACAGTAATAAAATACCCACAACAAGGACATTCTTTTCTTTTCAAGATTGATACTCGAACAGCATTGTTTCTATTTATTTAATAGAAAAGTAAAGAGCTGGAATACAAAAAAAAAGAAAGAAAAAGTAAAATAGAGAACTGATTTTTTTTACATGTAATTTTTACGGATGAGTCCCTTCAACAATTTGTATTTGAGGTATGATTTTTAGAATATGATTGATATTTGAATTATGACTGCTGTTCGTATTGGATCACATCTATCAAAAATATTCTTCAAAATTGTTTCTACATTCACGGTGAGTATAAACATATTTATGATAGGCATTTCGATTGTCATTCTTTGCATCTATATATGCCAATATATCTCTAAATTCAAACAAACATATTATTATTCTATTTCTTCAATCTATTGTACTTACAGAACAGCTGAATTTGTTCCATTAATATCTCTTAATGTAACCATATGATAATTGACAGGTATTTTTGAACCATTAGGTAATGTATGCGACCAATTTTTTTTGCAAGTATCACAACATGGAAGAGTATAAATACTATGCCATTCAACACTCTAGAAAGAAAAAAAACATATTTAAACATTGTCATAATATCTTGCGATTTCTATAGATAAAAAAATCATGAAAAACATTGAGTACCACAATTAGTCAACAAGTTTCATTTTCAATGTAAGCATTAAAAAGAATCCAAATAGTATAAAATAAAAATTATTATCAGATTCGCAAAGATAGTGAATCCAGAAAACCAGAATCCTAGTTTTTTGAACATCTAGAGTGCATAATTATTATTTTGTTTAGAGTACATCGAACAATAGAGCAAATCAGTTTCTACAAAATGAGATATTCCTAAGTTCCCTGCGACGTTTTTTGGCTGAGATATAGCAATTTGATCGAAGGTCAAAAAATGATTTTTCTATTTAAGATTGGAAAAACGGCTTTCGGACTTTGTAAGATTGCTGTATCTCAACTAAAAACGTCACAGAGAACTCGGAGATAGTTGTTTTCTCTATCATTCTATGTAGTCCAAACAGAATTATATTTATCCGTTCTAGATGCTGAAAAATGATGATTTCGGTTCTCTGAAGTCTTAGTCTTTGAGAATCTGATAATAGCTTATATTCGCTTTGGAAACAATTTTCTCTGTTCGAATCAATATATGGATTCTTTCTAGCGCTTATGATAGCAGAAAAAAATCGAAAATAAATCTTGTTGAATAATTTTGTTACTCTCTATATGTGTTAACTTACATCAACTTCTTTTTTATTTGGTCGAAATGATTTATCTTGAGAAGTTGTTGTAGCCAGAACATAATGATGTGTTCGACTTCGACGTTGTTGTATAGGACCAATATGTGGATATTTCTTAATAACTACACCATTGTGAATAGCCATTTTAAGAATATCGTATGGATCGTTCATACCAGTTTCTTCTACAAACTAAAACAATGAATGAATCATATTTCAATGTAAAAACAAATGCGTATGTACTTACTTCACGAAAACCTCCTTCTCTTATAGTTTCTTTTGAATCAGGCTTTCCTTTAGGGAATCCAATATTAAGACGTTTGAATGGTTTATCATTTATATGTGAAATAACTAAAATCTAAAAAAGTATTTCAAAATTTTTCAAATTTAAATAATCTCACAAAAGTAACATACTTTTTCTGCACCTTCTTCCATAGTTGAAATTAAAATTACACCAACACGTGGACCCCAGCGTCTTTCATGACTCCATTCTCTCCAAATATAGTTGGCACAACGCGTACGTATTCTTGCAATTTCCGGTGTAATCAGTTCATGTGTAGTTACTGTATCACTAGACTCTAAAATAATAATACGGAGAATTTTCTTTTCTAAGGAAAAAGATTTAATATTTACCAGAATATTTATTATTCATTGATTCATCATCAGAAGATAGATCAGAGACCCGTTGTTGATATATAATATCGAGCATTTTCAATATCGCTTAAGAAAGAAATATGCGATAAGTTTTATCTTTATTTCAAATAAAAAAAAGAAGTTTACCGGGAATAGCAAAATTCTTCCAATCTATTTTATTTGATTGTCTTGTAAGTTTTCGTGCATCGCAATCATCATAAAAACGATGATCAATTGTAAATAATTCTTCAAGTATTCGTTTGTATACTTTTTCTTCACTTATGTACGTAAGAAGCCCAATCGATCGTTGTGAATCTTCTGTATACAGCCAATATGCTATACACCTAATTTATGATAAAGATAAAGATTACAAATCTTACATAAAGTTTTTAATTAAAAAAACAAATTTTACCTTTTTATATTATTTTCACAACGACGAGATATAAAATAAAATTTTGTCCGATTTGAAGTCATTGAATATTTAATATTTCTAAAATAATATATATCTAATTCTGATTTATTTTCATGTAATACAAATATAGCATCTGATCTTGTTGAATGGATAGCAAAACGCCGAAGAAAAAAATGTCAAAGAAAAATATATCGAAGAAAAAAAACGTTGAAAAAATATCTATATATCGAAATTTGTCTATAAATTAATAGAAAATATCAAAATTTTAGAAATTACTTTCAATTACTCTTTAAGCTTGTTCTTCAATGTCTCTGATGGTTGATATTTATTATTTTCATTAAAAGGCATAATTTGAAGTTCTGTGAAAATTATAATTGTAATAAAAAAAAAATCTACATTAATATATAAATCCGTTTTATTTCAAGTCAAAGATACTTACCAATTTGTTCTGAAATGAGCAGAAAAACGAACGAGTATGGCAATCTATACTTGTATGGAATTGCGTAAGTTCATGAGTAATAACGGAATTTTCCGACTCATATTATACAATATGCCAATTGGATAATATTGGTTTACATTGACTTTTTTTATAAAAACACAGCGGCACCTATTTTTTGCTTCCTTATTTAAAAGAAGAATAACCATATTGTATTCTTTTTAATTGAATGTTCTCTTTTTTTATTAATAGAACTCATCAAAATTTATTAAAAATGAATTTTACAGCAAAATCTTTTTTGTATAGTTTTGTAATATATATGTGAAAATGTTAAATATTATCAGCGAGATAAGGGAAACGATTTTTTTACAGTTAACTATTCTTCGAAAAGAAAAAAATGAATTATTCTTTTTCTTTTCTTCGTGTATAGAAAAAAAGGGTTCGAGTTTACAAGAAAAAAAAACAATTTTGTTAACTCATAATGATCACATATTATATAGAAATTCAAAGGAAGACGTTTATATATTTTCATTTACTTTCTATGCTTAAATATCTTGAGTTTAGTTCATCTATTTAGGTTAATCAAAAAGTTCTGCGAATTCATAGACAAAATACATCTAATCGATCATTTTACAGCAAATATTCGACATAGTTATTATGATGTTCAAAATGGATTTTCATTCTTTTAACTTATTGTCGAAATATATTTTCATAATTAATAAGAAGTATTGAATTCAATTCCTTGATTATTTCTTTAGTTACACTTGTTCATGACATTTTGAAAAATGTAGACAGATTAACTAATAATACAAAACGTTAATATGAAGATTATCATTAGTTGTTAGATATGAATTTACTATTACAGTATTGGATCTAATCTATAATCAAAATCATAGTGGGAGAAAGAAGAAAAACCATTCAAGTGCCGTTAAGACATAATGATACCGAAACCAATAATGTTTATCATTCGTTTTACAATAGCTGAACCATCACTTACCATAAAACATCTTCGACAGTAGGTGTTGATTTTATTGGCAACTCTAATTAATGATTAAAATCCTAGATTAAAAAGCTTTCAAAAAAAAAAGATTCTCATTATCATCAAGCTGTATCATGTTCCAGCATGGCAATTAAGGAGATACGGGTCAAAGTTTTTGTGAACCTAGACCCACAGCTCCCGAATGGCAATGCGAGCAACATTTGAAGAGTTAAAAAGATAGAACTTTGTGTTGAATATCATAATAAATACTTCGAACATTTGTTGTAAATAGATCGATTGATGTGGTTTTCTATGCATCTATTTCCTTGAGTTCTCAGAACTTATTGACTGACATAGATATAATCTATTGTTGATTTAAATTTTCAAAAAAATCAAACTTATTAATTGAAATGAAGTTTTTAATTTAGTTATATTTAAGTAAATATGTTTAGATCTCAAATTAAACTTAAGAAACAATTATGTTATTTAGTTTTGTAGATGCTTCCGTTTTTTGAGATTCGCTTGCTTAAAGTAACAATCACGAGAAAGATAGGTTTAATGTATTAATAAAATATCTTACACAATCTAATGGTTTCCCCTTCGAAATAGAATGTTATAAGTTTTCCAAACTGATTTTTGAGAAATCGAGCGGATTTGAAGACGGGGGTTAGCGTCTAAAAACCTGGTATTTGAGTGGAAAATCATATTTTTCATATTTAAAATTAATTCTTTTTAGTAAATTCGGTACTTAGTCCCTAATAATGCTTATTTGAATATCAGAAAGGTTTTTCAAAAATCCTCGATTTTCTAGGTAGATGTTAGCAAAAAAGTAACACGAAATAGAAAAACTAACCTTGGAACAGCGATATGAGTTCCATAATAGAAGGTCACGGCTTTTTATTCTGAAGGAAACGTTTGCATACATATTTTGATGATAAAGTTCTCCGAAGATTTGTGATGATCTGTGTAGCAGAATCTCAACCAAGAGCAATTCTCCATTCCCGGTCATCTACAGATAATTATAAGACGACTTCATGAAAATATCGATTGTCTACCTGTAAGAAACATAACTTGTTGGTTATGTATGTTTTTTTGTACAATAGTTTGACAATGTTACATGACTTTCTGAGGGCTGGACGATATCGCCGAAAATTGAGAAATTGTTCCGCTTATAGCAGAAATTCTTCATTCCAAATAAAGTCAAGCAGAGACGCTTTTCATAGCGAAATACAATCTACCACTAAATGTTTTCGATTAGAAACGTATCAACCATATCTATCTTCACAAGAAGAAATATATAATACATAAGGAGAAATCGATCAGATTATCCTTACAATATCAGCAGAAAGGAATTAAATTACTTTCCGCTGTAAGGAGAAATTCTAGTAGAAATGGATTTTCTTCCAACAGAAATGTAAATATTTCTAACAGAAATTCTTTATCCATCTTAACGTTAATAAGCAGATGTGACAAAGTGAAAAATAGGTCATGGAGTAGCGATTGATAGATAGATGCTTGTATTCTCTCGTTCTGTTTCTCCTCGCTGAAGTATTTCCTTATGGTAAATTAAACGTGATAAATATATGTTTATCTTCTTTTTTCCATTTCTCCTTGATACGTATGGCTTTGTGTGGGTGAACCATTTCTCCTTAAACGGGAACAATTATCCCATCTATTGGCCCAATCGTCCACTACTGCATCCAATCTCGATATACATATCTGTTTAGAGTATTTCAATAAAAATCTGTTAGTGTAAACAGGTTGAAAAAAAAACTATGTAGTAAAACAGTTGAACAACGTCCAAGGTCTCTTATCCTCACAATGAACATTATTCTAAAAATATCATTCTTATCGAATGTTGTTCGATATTAACTATCTTTCAT